AGACAAGGACGAAATTAACACAGACAAAAACAAGGACAAAGACAAGGACAAGGACAATGACACAAACAAAGACAGGGACAATGACAAGGACCATGGGAAGGTCAATGAAAATAAATTGATAAAACTTTTATACGTAAAGTGTAATTAAAAATATGGATAGATTGTTTTGCCACGTTAATATAACATAAATTGCTAATGAATAATGTGTATTAGGTTTTTACACACGTGTATCAATCAGATATTGAATTGAAATTGTGGTTGGCGTTATCAGTATTTATACCCCTACTAGGTGTCTCTACATTCGATAAGAAACGGAAATGGAGCCATGACGTTGTTTAAAAATGATGACATATGAATCATAACATCTCATGGTTAGACTAAATGACCATTACAATGTTTCTCATTTTCTCATGGGATACAGTAATGTATTGACATGTATAGTCGTATTGGAGAGGGGAGATATTGTGAGAGAAAGAGAGCAAGATAAATAGATGACAGGGACGGAGAAAATGAGAGAAAAAGAGAGGAAGAAAGAGAGAAAGAGAGACAGAGAGAAAAGGGAGAGAGGGAGAGGAGGGAGAGAGGGAGAGAGAAAAAGAGAGAGATAGTGAAAGGAAGGCGAGAGAGAGAGAGAGAGAGAGAGAGACAGAAAGAAAGCGAGATGGGCATTCTGACACATGTACCTGTTGTTTTTGATTAACTACATACGCTTTTAGTCAGGCTTCTTCTATTTTAATTAGTTAATATCAAGCTAGCAACGCTTATACGGCGTGGTTAGTCATTGTCCTCCTCTGGTTGCATCCTAAATCAAATCAGAGAAGATATGACCGGACAGGGAGATAGATAGTGGTTACTGGCAAGTTACAAAGAGACATTTCACCTTGATCTACAATGTATGTACATTGTACCGTCATACACCTGAAAGATGCCCTTTTGAGGCGTCTTAAAGGTACTATGTCCCATTTGCAGGCCAACAAAATGAAAAAGTTAAATTCCAACTGCATTTGAAAGATAATACTAATTTAGAACTTCCCTAAAAAAGGTGGGGCTTGAAAATGTCTTCAAGTGCGAAAATAACGACTATTAGTTGTCAAATCGACTTTAGGGCTATAGAGCCCAAAAGTAATAGTCTTGATTTTCAGACGATTGTACCGAATGGTCATACGTTTTATGCTGCGCAAAGATTCAATCAGTTTAATCTTGGCCATCACAAGAAGTGGGTTATTGATGTAGACAAATGCTCATGTACCCTTTACAACTCTTTTCATGTATGTTATTACCAAAGAAGAAAAAACGCCAGTCAGTCACTCGATAGTGTCTGACAGTGAAGTCTAGCAAGTAAACGGGTTTCCTTGCATAATTTGAATATGAGGACACTGCTAACGTTTAAATTTCACAGATAGGACATACATGACATATTCATAATTCCTGCAAAGTTCTACAGCATTTGAGGTTGGCTGCAAAAGGGACATAGTACCTTTAAGGACTTACGGAGTTGTTAATTTAATTACTAATTATAAAGTATCATTTGAGGTGTTCACATTTGTACACGCATTGCTTTTAGTGGACCCCTCTGTTTCCAATATGTATTTCTACATTTCTTGTGAATTTTTATGATTGATTTGTAATGCTTTGTTGGAAACATTAATTAATTGAAATTGAAAAAAATGAATTGAAATTGAAGGTCACCTGTCCCATAGTGGCCATGCGTTTTGTCTCCCTCGAGAATGAAAAATGTGTAGTAGAACCCGTCTAGAGCGGCCACATGTCTGCAGTGGCCACTTTTTCCGTTTTAACTGAGTTGCCTTCCCCAGTCATTACTAGAAAGGTTTGACTGTAGTAATTTATGAGTAGTCTGATGTGAATAATGACAATTGCACGTACCGCTCAAGGAATATGTGAAGATTTGAATATTTTTCATTTTGTTAACGTGTCCTATGTCGTTACCATAAAGACACTCTTCTTAATACTTTTTTTTGAAAGGGTTTAAATTTAGAAGCTTTGTGCATATTTTGTCAGGTAAATAAGGGGTAATCGACTTCTCAAGGTTCCCCTTTCTAATGCATTTCATTACCAGGTTGACATTTCGGAATTGGCACTCTTTTTTGTTGGTGTCAATAGTGATTATTGATAACCTTCAAACACCGTAATTAGTTCTCGTTTCATTGAATTTAGAATCTTTGTGCATATTTTGTCTGGTAAATAAGGGATAACCCTTTTTAATGCATTTTATTACCAGGTTGACATTTCGGAATTGGCATTCTTTTTGTGTTGGTGTCAATGGTTATTATTAATAACCTTTAAACACCATAATTAGTTCTCGTTTCGCTCTTGACAAGTACCGTTTTAATGATTATGTGCCGCTTGAGGATGCTCGTAAAATCACATAACAAGTTTGAAATGACGTTTTATTGCATCATCATCTACTGAAAACTGTAGAATGGAAGTTTAAATATTCAAGTACTTGGCAAACAAAAATAGGCATTCACGTGTACACTACAGTACAGTATTTTGCAGCATGAGCCGCCTCCTGGGATGGTTGTGTTTTAATTTAAAGTAGTTAGAAGCTGTTTAATTTGCCCCTTTCCCTCGTGGTATAGCATTGCCTTCTTTTAACCTAAAGTATATATGCATACTGGTGGAAAAACACATTTAGGGCACAATTTCACGTTCGACTACAGGGGTAGTTTTCTCAGTAACTTAGTGTTGTTTATGGCCCCTGTTCACCGCTTTCAGGCGCCGATGAGGCATGGCATAATTAAACACATAGCCCATCATTTTATGGGCGCCACTATAGGCAACGCATCGGTGACTTTTAAGGCTTCTATACCCATCACGACCGTTAGCATCTTTTCCCTAGGCAACCTCGCGACACATTTCCTCTTGATAGTTTGTTTATGAGTTAGTCATGTGAGGGGCAAATAACCGGACTGTACTCGAAACGTTAAAGTTGTAAACATTTCGTAGTTCGAAACAAGGTAGAGTTAAAATGAAAAGTCTTTACTTTTTCTTTCTTCTTCCTTGATTCATTTATCGGTGTATCCAGAGCATCATTAAAGATGAAGTTAAGTTCTGGTCATGCGATAGCATTGTGAAAGAAACGTTGTTGGATCGATCAGAAAAGGTTGATCATCTAGCATATATACGCATTGGTGTGTACTGCAAGGTTCTGGAATCATCAACATGATAAGAAGTTTGGCCATGTCTTGGTATAGTTACCAGCACTGTACAAAGAAAGATGTAGGCCTATATGGGACTACATGAGCATGTGGTATAAAAATCCGTCCCGATTTGTATGATGTTACATGCCATATTTAGACTATTAAGGCATTTGAAGAGCCATGCTTATCAGCCGGGAACATTTTTCACCTGATGCATAATACAATGATAACGCTCACCTCTTCCCAGAACTCAACCTTCTCTTTAAGTTTATCAAACAGTTAATTTAGCTTTCATTTAAAGGTGTGGGTTTTTCAAAGGGGAAAAACGATATATCACTTATATTCGCAAACTTATCTCCGATTTAAATTCGATCGTCTAATTGTTGAATTCTAAAAATTATTTCAAAAGCTAATAGACATACATCTTTGATTGTAAGCTGGAAGCCAATGAATTAGTTGATATCGGGGTACAATTACACTAGTTGAAAAATCCTTAGAGGAAAACGATCAAATAAAATGGTGACGTATATTGCATTTCCAGATAATTCACACTAGGTAAAGGCCGTGTCGTTGAAGAAATGGGCCTACATACCCTTCTTTTGAAAACCCACGCGGCTTAGTTTTGGCCTAGATACCTAAAGCATTTTGACAAATAAATTGTAAACGTTCCATTTCAAAATGCAGTCATTCCAAAGTTAGGATGTGCATAAATAGAATATATACCATTCCAAAATGGTCAATATTAATTGTATATAATGATTGGATTTAATTTTTTTTTTAAATATATATTAAGTGCCATACAAAACGGAACATACTTTGAACATCCTCTCCGCCTACACGAGTTAAATCGTCGCTTCAGTTGAAATGCCTTTGGCGACAGTAGATTGCTTTGAAAAATTGGTAGGATTACAGATGAATTGAATGAGAGGGGGAAATTACGATTTTAAAGTAAGACCGCTATAATGCAGTAATCCCGATCATTTTAAAACGAGATTAAGACTGACAACATGGAAAAAGAATACGATGAAATTAAACGAACTATACAGAATCAGCGGGAAAAGAGAAGATTAGGAGTGAAAATAATATTGAAGGAAAAGAAAATTCAGGGAAAGAAATTGAGGCAAATCATCTAAAAAGGTTGCATACAAAACAAGACAAGACAAAGAAAAGGTAGAATAGAATATGGATCAGGATAGGAACAGTAGGAGTGCAGTCCACGTGCGACGGCCATGATTTGGTTATCCCTTCATTATTAAACTATTCGTCCATCCACCATCAACTGGTGAGATGAAAAATGTCTCTATTTATGAAACCTATCCATCCAAAATAATTCACACTAGAAATTCATATTGCTGCGAGTACCTCAAATTCTCAAACCCTTTGTGTCTTGAAACAGACGGCTTGTAACCCCACATTAATGTTCACTACATTACTGCGAACTATGGTATTTTTATAATTGTACCTCAAGATGCATGCAAATGTATTTCTCATTCTCGATAATGTTGCATGTTTCTGTATCACAACAAAGTCTCGACACCCACACCCCCGTTCTGAAAGTCACATTATTACTGTCATAACATATTACAATGAATATGTCAATTTACTATGTTAATACATTTACATTAATCGATACAATGGAAATGTATTCTCATTCTAAGCCACCCCCTTGATTTGAAAGTATATTTGATTTATAAAATGTCGTTTTCTTTAATTCTTTACAGCTCTGGCAGATGGATGTAACGACATAACAGAAGATCACATGCTCAGTGGATGTTCTGCGAAAAGAAAATCGATAGAGGCAAACAAATATGAACGGAAATAGTAAATCAAAGGGGCTTGAAGAAACCTCGAGGAGCACCGTCCGTTTTGCTTTAATCTAATCAACCCGTCTGAATAGCTCCTCGGCATGTAATGGGGCCATTTATTATTAAGTGACAACTCAACATCGTTCAACTTTGAAAAGCACACACTTTGCAGACTCGGAAATTTCGTCTTTTTATTTGATAAACGTAACACACTTTGAAAAGGAAGACAAACGAGCAAGATCAGCAAGGAGAAGAAGAGAAGGAGGAGGAGGGAAAAGAAGAAAAAGAAGAAAAAGAAGACGAAGAATAAGGAGAAGGAGAGCGAAAAGGAAATATGGCGGTGCCGACATCGCACCGTGATGGCAGCGAACCCGGTATGAATGCCGAATGGGGTAAACCTGGGGGGTTTGACGGGGCAGATGTCGTTATTATAGCCCCAACCATGGACATAGGTTTCGCATACAATTACAGTTTAAATGATTCCCTCGATGCCAGTGGAAACGAAACAGACTTCGAGGTCCCTGTCTTTACACCGGAGTATCTCATCCGCGTGGTCACGCTCACGTCCATCATGGTGCTATCTGGACCTCTCAACGTCGCCGTCTTCGCCTCACTCTGGCGCGAACGACGTCGAAAATCACGCATCAACCTCCTCATCATGCACCTCACCCTCGCCGATCTCCTTATCACTTTCATCAACATACCCACCGATGTGATCTGGTTCTGCACGGTTCGATGGCTGGCAGGGAATGTCATGTGTAAATTATTAATGTTTATCGAGTCGAGTGCGATGTACGCCTCGTCGTTTGTTCTTATCGTGATCAGTCTAGATCGTTTCGCCGCCATCGTCCACCCACTCAGCGTCAGTAAGGCAGATAGGAGGTGTAAGATCATGCTGCGGGTGGCCTGGTCTTCGTCGGTCTTCTGTAGTATTCCACAGGTAAACTTAATCACGTTGTTCTTGAATTGATAATTCATACATTTAATTCATTTCAATGGAATTCAAATAACAGTACTTTATTCCATTTCTTTTCCCATATCAAGAAGATACTCAGGTAGAGCATTTGTAGATGCATAATGCAAATAAGCAAATTAACAGAATAACAGTTTTAACGTAAGGGAGACGGCGTTAAACAACTTGGGAAAACATCTTGCTTTCATTTCATTCAGTTAAGCAATGTGACAAAAAAAGTGATGTAAATACAGACCCCCCCCCTCTCTCTCTCTCTCTCTCTCTCTCTCTCTCTCCCTCTCTCTCCCTCTCTCTCTCTCATTGCCAGAATTATATCCATTGTCCAAAACCCATCCTCGTAATATTATGTTACACAACAAAATCCTATCATTGTCCATATCTCTCCCCATTTTTTTGTAATGGCGAAAGTGAAGATGAAATCAGCGTCACCCTGTGTAAGGATCAAATTGCAGAAATTCAATACTCAGAAGCACAGTGAAATAAATTGAATTTCCAATTTCAGAATGAAAGGAGTAATGGAAATTTTCAACTAATTCATTTTTGTGGCTTTCAATCTGAGTTTGGAAGTATTATAAAAGAAGAAAGTTCACTCCAAACGGGCGGGATACATCGGATGGGGAAAATCAAAGCTTTCATTCGTCTTTAAAAATATCGTCTGTTTAGAGCCAAAAGGGCGTTAACTCATATACCTTAATACATAGTTAACTGCCACAGGTGCATAATATACTGACAGTCTTCAAAATCTTCAGACAATTCAGGAATTTTAATTTTAATTAACCAGACTTTGTAAAATACTTTACCAGTTTTAGCAGTACTTGTTAATCCCGAAACTACGCTGAATTGGAGTAGTGTCGTATTCGAGGGGTTTAAACACATGACTGCGGAGACGAAAGTTCGAACGCCATCTTGGCACTGGTGTCTTTTATCTAGACATTAATCGACTTTTGCCACTCTCGACTCAAGGCCGCTAGTGTAAAAGGAAATGTTGAAGAAATAGATCGAATACCACAAATAACTTAAGAGATGTTATAATCAACGAGATAAACTCATGCAGTGTGGACCACAGAAGGCCAAAGATAACTATTTTAGTTATAGGTGAAGATATTTATGTCAATAGGAATCGGAATACGGACATAGTAATATGAATATGGCTTATATAATATAGGAATGATATAGGAAAAAAGGTATGATGGGAAAGGACCTCCTAACATTCGTACCTGAATTGCATTGATTGATGCATACATTTAGAATATTAAATAACATTCGGATGTGAGGAGGAAGAAATAAACTCAGACTAAACATAACATAGTGACATTACCAGTAACGATTAGACGACGAACACGTATGTATGCATAGAATGTCTCGTAAAATAATAAATAAATAATGAAGCTATGAATACTATGCTTGAAGCGCAACAAAGATTACAACTGTATAACATTACCCGATGCCCTTGATAAAACACATTATTGTTGGCAAGAAGTATTTACATGACTAGCAATCATTGTGTTCACGACGGAAACATCAGCGTTTCTCACATTTTAGCAATCATGTGTTCATGTAGGTACATCAGCATTTCTCACTTTCACCGGTAACAAACATTTTAGCAATCATGTGTTCATGTAGGAAACATTAGCGTTTCTCACTTCCACCAGTAACATACATTAATAACTCCCATGGCCCCTCTTACTCTTGCTGTAATCACCCTTTTGTCATGTTTCTCTGTCGCTTTTGCCGCTAGACATTTAATCATCCATTATATTGAGGGTTCACACTCTCAAAGATTCATGATTGTGGTAGAACAGTATTAAACATTCATCCTTCTTTATTTCCTCTATGTGATGATTTTACTAACTTTTATCCTATCTTTGCGATTACCTTTTCTATGTAAAAGTATTTTATGGAGCCAATTGTTGCATTTATAAGAAAAAGAAGCAAAAATCACCCCGTAAAAACTACATCCAAAGAAAACAAAATCGAAAACAAAAACAAATACTAGAAAACAACATAAACAAAATAAACAAACAAAAATGCCGACTACTAGTCTTTTCTCTGATTTGTTTGCTTCATTACAATATCTTTGCTTCATCAAAATATCTTTGCTTCATTACAATATCTTTGCTTCATCACAATATATTTGCTTAATTACAGTATCTTTGCTTCATTACTCTATCTTTGCTTCATTACAATATCTTTGCTTAATTACAATATCTTTGCTTCATTACTCTATCTTTACTTCATTACAATATCTTTGCTTAATTACAATATCTTTGCTTCACTACAATATCTTTGCTTCATTACAATATCTTTGCTTCACTACAATATCTTTGCTTCATTACAATATCTTATTAGTATTGATCAAAATTTGGATCTAATTCTACCAAGGCCTAAAAACAAAGACCATTACCACCGAATGACAAAATGCTATGGCATTTCTACTTAGCTATTATTAGCATGTCAATACTATACCATGATGGCAAGGGGAGAATTATTAATCAATCTAGGCGATATGGTTGAATTCCTGCATGATTAGAAAGGCGCTAAGTAAAGTTGTGATATAATCCCGATAATGCTGTAATTATGATCAGGCCGTAATGATGGAGGTCTTTGCAATTTAGTTTAATACAGCAATTTGCGTGTAAGCCTGATCATACTCATTTTTAGCCCAGCTCTTGATGTTATTCGTAATTTCGTCATGATTTTTTTTTGGGTCAACTAAAATGGAATTGGGTTGTTATTGACGTAAACTAAGATCGCCTCCTCCAAAGTTTATCAACATAATTACATTCCAAAAAGCTTTCGCGGCACTATACTTTATCTCCCCTGGATTAAAAGTGAAAGCATCCTAAATGTCAAAATATAAATACAAGTTTGTTTTCTTCTTCTAAGGATTACCGCTTCTTCTATCAATATAATTAACGTTTATTCGAGAAATGACACCTGAAGTCTTCAATACATTTTTCCAGTTACAACGTCGACAATAAACCAACAAAATATCGACAGAAGTGAGTGTATTCAAGAAATGAGAGCATCAAATAAACTTGCTTCCGCTTTTTATACTTTAGTTTTTAGTAACGAACCTGTATTATATATTCATGCTAATTCAATTTTTTTCCCTTCCCCCCTTAAATTTCAATATAAAGACGTTTTTATTTCACTATCAGGGGCAAAATGAAGGGGGGAGGGGTGGGGGAGAGGCACCAGAAAAAGCAGTGTAGCGTTTGATTATTGTGACAGACAGTATTATCATTTATTATTATTATTACTTATACCGCGATTTTCCAATAAGCCCAAAGCGCTTACAGTAAATGAGTGTAGCAACCCAGCAAAAGTTATGTGATATTGAAATTTAGCTGTGTAAATTGGCATAATTATTATTATTGTTATCATTATTATTATTATGATGATGATTATTAACAGTATTACCATCATTAATTATGATAGTAGAGTAGGCCTCTTAGTAATACGTGTACCACTATCATCATCATCATCATCATCATTATCTTCTTCTTTATTATTATTATTATTATTATTATTATTTATTCGACCATTCATAAAAAAATAAAGGCGCAAATACAATTGTTCGATATCTGTCGGCAAGAATAAGATAAAAGTTTACATTGTAATGGCAGTAAAGTTACCATGTCTTCTCCTTCACTTCAAAACAAAATTTGGTGACGGATTCATGAGAGTGGAGAGGGCTGTCATATCCCCAGGTCCACTAGCTACATAATGATTCGATTGATGCTAGACGAAACTTCACATCAAACCAATGCTAGCGAACATTATCAAACATTCTTATTTCAATATCCATACACTCGCATATATTTTTTTGCTCCGATACCACGACTACCACCTATACCTGCAATTCGAATGATCGGTCCCCTTTTGACTTCAATACTACTAGTTTTTTTCTTCTAAAAGGTAACATAGACGTATTCTTACACCGTGAAAGTAATGTGAGGCCGCATAAAGAGGAAGTCACCCACATCACATTAGTGCGACCATGGGGGAGGTCCAGGTACTTCATGCCATGCTTAGCTAAATGGCGCAATGGTCCCCTGGCGCCACTTAAGGAACGCGTGAACAGCGCCCTCGGGATAACCTTGAAATGGCAGGAGAAACCATCGAGACAGATCGCACACTCTTCTTTGATTGGTCTGGCACTGAATGGTTCATAAACGTCTGAAGCGAAACGTCAAAAAGGAAAGAGAATGCGCTTGGAATCTATACGTATAGCAATTTAATCTGCCTTTCTTAAAAGCTCATTTCCTTCTTTTTCGTTAATCTCCTTTTTAATGCACAATGAAAGGTCAATAAACAAGAAGAGGAAGAATGAGAAGGAAAAAAAAAGGTGAAGAAAAACACGAACAATAACAAGAAAAAAATGAGAAGGCCAACAACAACACAACAACAACAACAGAAATAGCATTACCAACAACAACAAAAGTAAGAACAGCAACAATATAGAAGGAACATAAAATGATAGGGAGCGTCAGTTCAAACATTTCTTTAGAACAGTGCAATTCGACAAGGATTGAAGAAGCGATGCTCCAACCAAAACTATGTCCTAATTGTTAATATCTGGGGCCTGTTGCACAAAACTTACCCTTGATGGTAACTTTGCCATCAATGGCAACTACCATGGTAACAGGGCTCAACAGCCAATCAAAATCAAGGTTTCCATGGTAGTTACCATTGATGTTAATGTTATCATCAATGGTAAGTTTTGTGCAACAGTGCCCTGGACGCATCATTGGTAATAATGGCAAAGGTGCAAAATATTATGATATTGCTTATCATGGGATAAATATGATTTCCGTATTATTGAGAAGAAAAAAAACACGATAGTTGCATTTTATTGTGTAACTATATTGTGTGTAAATGGCAAAAGTCGATAACCGTCACAAATTGTAACTGTTTGTTCAGTCGCTAAACTTAACCGTAACGCATTTGTAGCGTAGCTTAATATCACAGGCTTAGGCGTTGCAGATTGGAAAAAGGTTCAAATCACCTTTTGTGTTCCTGTGGGACCTAAAAGGTAAGATGGGGGCGGGGGCGGGTAACGTTTAAAATAAAGTTAATTACATGAGGCTGATTTCATAGTCTATTTATATATTCGAAAGACATTCTAAAAGTCTAAGTTTGTCCTACTTGACAGAAGGTAAAATGCATTAGTTTGTGACGTAGATCCGACAAATCCTGGCTCAAAACGCGAGAACGTTGTTATTCCTTATCCAAGGGTATCAGAAAGCGGATTACCCGTAACAATTTCACAATCTTCATTGTTGATTAATCTATTTTTAAAATTTCCTGTTTAAACAAAAAACGCATAAATGGAAATAAAGGTAATACGAAGATTATTGTACTCCCACCAGTTAATTTCCTCCAAAGAGCACCCGAGAACCAAATTGATAGGCAAAAAAATGGCACAAAACTCGACTAGCTAGTTTCTTCTGTAAACGTCATTATTTAGTATCCGGCCCAACAGAATGAAACATTGATATTAACTGTTTAAGGAATGAAGACCGTTCCCATACATTATCGTTCAGGATATGTATATAATGATATTTTAAGCAAAACCTTCTGTTGTTGCATAAGTGTCAACATTATAACATTGTTTTTTTCAGGACAGATGTATTTCCGTAGATTTATCTTTCGACCCTTAACAACAACAACAACAAAACGTGCCACGATAATGTTTTTAGCAACAAATATGCCCATTATCAAAAGTGTGAGTCATCAACATTGTTATCATACTTATTAACCAATTTATAGACTGAGTGCAGTATCGTCACATATCGCTCTATGTTATTTTCATGACAGTCACTTGAAAAATAGATAATACGAACATTACATCGGTTCTTATTTGTTATGTTTGTGAAAAAGATTTTCCCCTCCTATCACACACTATACTTCCCATTTCATTTCCTTTTCCATTAAATCTACTGTCTTCTTTTCTGTTATCTGCACGCAGATTCGCCATCATCTTTCTGTCTTCAATGTTTAACCTTACATCTATCCCGCTCTCTTTTGTATGACAATAGTTATTTTCTTTTTTTAATGATCAAATTATGATAATCGGCTTCAATGCAACCTACTTATTCGTCTTTTAAGCAACAGTTAAAATGGAACAAGTGAAAAATATAAATGAAATAACACCTCACCTAAACAAATACATTTACTACTCCTTCACCGTCGTAAGAACATCGGCCATTGACCTCCGACCAGTTATAATTATCACCGATTATTGTTGAACAACTGCCAGCCATTCGCCAATATTTCCATGAGCGGTCGCAAATAAGTACATCTTTCCACAACCGATTGGCAACTCATCGACCACCAACTTATTACAAATTGGTTATCGATGGTTGCAGTTATTTTGGTCGTCGGAAGGCGGCAAATGGTATTGTGATTTATGCTTTAAGCGTAAAATTGCAAACTCTATAGTTCAGATCTCTTTCAATCCCGGTTCATGTCAACGACTGATAACATGCGGATTCATTTAGATTTATCCTCCCTGATATGAAATCAAATTTATTAGAATGGAGAAAGGGAAATAGATGACACGGGACGGGAAAAGTTTGAGACAAATCTCTATGAGAAAGATAAAAGAACCCCCAGCCAAATTGGCAACTCTGATTTCCTAAATTCGAACTGATATCCATTCTGGATGTCATAAATTTCCATCTTTAATCTAAGAAAATGTTTTTCTCAAACTTTCCCCGAAATACGTCACATTCTTCTACGTCCTCTTAAGGTTTTTCTGATAGGTCTCCGTGTATGAAATGATACTCTTTAACCAAAAATGCAAGTCGCCAATTAGTGTTGATGTCAGAGTTGACACGTTGAAACACTGTGTTTTTAAACGCGTTTAAAAACGCATTTTAAATCGCCCGTTTTTTCTATAAACATCAAAACATGATTCAAAACACCCCATAGATACGTGTGTTAAACGTTTTTATATGCATTTTATTTCTTCAATGTGTTAAAATTTGTTTGCTTCAATTACTCGTTTTTAATTTATTCTGGATTGAAAATGATTCCACAGTTCCTAATTTAATTATTAGTGAATTAGAACTCTCACCGCCCTGTCTCTCCTCTCTTCTCGGGTCCTCTGAACAGTTATCTGAGGGCTATAGCCAGGGGCGTGTCCAGGAGAGGGTCAGGGGGGGGGGGCAAGCCCCTTCCTCTAGCCAAATAAATACGTTAAAAATAGGCGGGGTTTTTTGCTCAAAAGGGGGGGGGGGAGGTGTTGAGTAAAATTTTTAAAAAAGAGCTCCACCCCCCCCCCCCCCCCACCCCCGCTAATTCGGCTGGCCGGCTGAATCGCCGCTAAATATTTCCTCACGAATTTGGCTCCCTCTTGGGCCCCCTCTCTCGCCGTTGGCTAGATCCGCCCCTGGCTATAGCAATCGACAGCCCACGATACCGTCGGCCCAAGAGGATAAAGCCCCCCCGAGACCGATAAGTTGGTCTCAATTGCCTTCTGCACAACTTTCCTAGAATTTTCGCTAAACGAACATTGTCAATCTTGTAGAATGTTGGTCTGTTGGGATGTTCCTGTTTAAGATTTCAAGTCCTAAAACGTTTTAATATGAGCCTCATTGAATTTAAATGCACATGCTGTAGTTTAGACCAAAAAACGTGCATGTCTGCTCTTTTTGCCAGTGCCCTGACAGTGAATGACAGGATGTAGTAAGCTTTCACACATTTATATTTTTTAACCATTTCTGAAAATTATGTGAAAATGAAATAAAAATGAAAAACCCCGATTTCTTTATATTTCATCACTCATTCTATATCGTATAGAATGCACATAAACTTTGATGTGCATCCGATTATGATCTAGATTTTCCTTATTTTGTGGTTTGTTTTGTGTCTTAGGTGCGTTTGTCATGGTTCTCAGTTGCGGACATTTCTTAAACATTTTTAAAACCTTTCTCTCGTTGCTTTCTCCGCCCCCTCTCTCCCTTTCTCCCCATCTTCTCCCTACCTCTCTCAACTTTCTCTTTGACCCTTCATTCCCTGTCCCTCTCTCTCTGTCTCTCTCTCTTTCTCTCTCTCTCACTCCCACTCTGCCATCAATGTCTCCATCTCACCATCCTTCACCACAGCTCTTCGTCCACGAGGTTGGCTCCCCACCGGAGGATCCCAGCTTCACCCAATGCGTCGACTACAACTTCGCCAACAATCGTCCTCGACTCTGGTGGCTATATCATGTCTTCGTTACCCTAGCCATGTACATTGTTCCATTAATAGCCATATTCGGCTGCTACGTCGCCATCGTCTATAAGATATGCAAAAAGTCGAGAGAAGGTGCGTAAACTGGTTCTAGGATACCTACTCCCTGGACATCCACCCCGGATAACCACCCCAGTCAACTACCCCCTAGGACAACTACCCCCTAGTCAACCACCCTCTAGGACGTCTACCCCGGGACAACTACCCCCTAGAACAACTAACCCCGGACAACTACCCTCCAGACAAATACCCCCTACGACAACCATGCTCTAGGACAACTACCCCCGGACAACTATCCTAGGGGTAAGTTGTCCTGGTTGTCCTAGGGGGTAGTTATCTGGAGGAATTGTCCGGGGTAAATGGTCCTAGGGGGTAGTTGTCCTAGGAATAGTTGTCTGGGGGTAGTTGTCCGGGGGTAGTGTTCCCGGGGGTAGTCGTCCTAGGGTGGTTGCCCTAGGGGGTAGTTGTCCTAGGGGTGGTTGACTGGGGGTAGTTATACAGCGGGGTGGATGTCCAGGGGGTAGGTGTCCGGATACGGCGTACAATCTATCACATCTATTTTATGTTCACGCTAATGCAAATAATGTGGCATCCACTCTCAACAGAGTGACTAAAACAGTCATTTTGCATTGGAATTCATTATAGTTTAGATTTGAATCAACTCCACACAATATTACCCCTAATATATTCTCCTCTACATGAAGGGTGATATGACTGTTGGATTGTTGGAATGGTGGAGGATAGAAGTTCATTCTGTCCACCCTACACTTCGTAGATAAGATAGCAGGTATCTGCAGAAGTACTTAAAACGTGATAACGTTATTGCGTGAGTCATCGTTACAAGGCATCATATCGAAATTCATGCCTAACCTCTTTAGATTATATCATAAATCAAACTTCTATTGATTACACAAATAATCTATGGCTGCTCATTAATATGTATATTTTTCACTTTTATATGTAGGCCTACTCAGATGTCTTTATTTGTGCTAATTGAATCAAACTCAATTAAGCTTAATCAAACAAATGCATATAATTTTAAATCTACGTAGGCCTATAGTCTCTGTCAATTTATGACAATAATGTGACTTTACATGATAACCTCAGTTTCGTTTCCTGAGTCACCGAATTACATACCTTGACTGCTACATCATTATTGTATCCACCTCCGGAACTTGTAAATACTTCCGGTTTACGGTGCACGCATTCGGCTCGCGGGTGGTACATATGCATGCGCAATATACAAATCCAAAAGCCATTTCTAGAATTCTCTCTTGTCGGTTGCTCCTGATTTAATTTGATTTTGTAATGAGTGTTCCAGAATAAATACTTAAGGAATCCCATTGCATAGCCATGATTTTGTAATTGTTCTTTCGGAGCAACTTTTTCCAGGCCGAGCGCTCGGCTGTATAGGATTAGTTGGCAATTTTAGCCACGTCACGTTTCTCATTCAGGGATATCTCTAAAGGGGTTTTCGTTTAATTTTGTGTGACCAGCACACAGCAGATTCACAGTATCGCACCATGTTCCAACTGACAATTTAGTTTGTAAAAAATAGAAAATTGCTTACGTTATATTATAAAAAAACGAAGTAAAAGGTACCCACAATCGAACTATATTGTAACGAGCACATATTGCTCGGTGATAACTGACTACTGTATATTCCTATTCCCTTAAGCCCCTGTTACACATATCTTTTAAAGTGGACTGAGGCCGCCAGGGACTTTGAATTATTGTTCAGATGATAGAAAATGGTGCTAAGGTAGTGACTTCAATGATAGATGTACAATTAAAGATAATCTGAAAGTTAGAGTGAAAACAAACTACTATTAATGATAACAATTGGGAAAACTGATCTGATCGATTCCTGAATTATCCCAACTATTTTAGTATAATTTAATTAAATTGAAGGTGCATGTAAATCGTCACAAAGTTATGAATTGGCTTTATATATCATTCCAAACATTTAAGTGTTGAAATATTATTTCATGGAAAAACGGTTAGGAGAATTGTAAAATTACTTGGGAGAGAAATACAGTTGCCCAGTGACGCCTTCAAAGAAAACCATAAATATCTTTGGTGTTTGAGAATCTTTTCAGAACATTTGCATGTTTAATACACTGTAAAAAAATAATAGTCGAAATAACTCAATAAAATTGAGGAAAAGAATTGCCTTATTTTTAGTAAGTAAATATTACCTACGGCATCTTAAGTAGAATTTACTTATTTTGCTGAATAAATTTTTACTCAGTTAAATCGAGTTACATTAACGTAAATAATTTAAGTATTGTAATAATTTTAGATAATTAAAAAAAAGCTATGATTACATATTGCACGATTTAGTACCCATCTAATCTAACAAGTAACATCCACTAATCATTCACTACTTCTATTTAAGATTAATCGTATATATATATATATCTACCACCATCACAAACTATTACATACGCTTCAATTCGACACATATTGAAAGGCTCCAAATTTTATATATACTTGATCGTAGCATCGTAAAAGGAAAATTGGTTGACAATTTCCTGAAATATCAAGTTTTGATTTGTTTTGAACTGGGTAACAATTAAAAATTGTCTTGTCTTTGCTTAGCCATGTTAAATGAATTAGTAAATGTTTTAAAGTCCTTAAATTTTCATTCAACCACAAAAAAGAATTGTTTTATTTAAAAAAGAGTTTAATTTGGTCTTAATGAATATTCATAAATTATGTAAATATTTCTATTACGCACTGCATCGGTCCTTACTTTAAAAAGATAAGAATAATCAACATAAATTGTTTGAGTAATACTTATAATTTCTGATTTTGAGTTAAAATTACTAAATTAATACAAGCTGAAATTACTTAAAGTTCTTATGTATTTGATTTTACTTAAATATTGAAAGTTTGAGTTAGCAAGACTTAAATTTAGTGCGTAAGTGGCAAAACTAATGTTTTCAAGTAAATTCTACATGGAAAAAATACGTAAAAATTACCAATGAACAAATTCTTTTTTTTACAGTGTACAGGGTTAATATAGTAGAAGGAAAATAATAAGTAACATTTCATACAAAACTTACCTTCAACAATGTTACCGGTTCACTTTAAAGTGACCCAATCACTATACTCCGCCATGTGTTAGCCACTTACGACGCACTGTAAAATCTCTTCAATGCAAGGAATTGCACATTTTCTAGGTACACTGTGCAAATCAAAAAACTTGAATCATTATCATTGTCATTTCCTGCTCTAGTAAAACTTGTCGCTTTTGCTCCTGGCTTTTTCTGTACGCTCTTGAGCCGAGGACGAGTTTGAGCTACCCGTAGGTTAAAGGTAATACAAAGTTTTGGTATGGGGTCATGAAATTGTTTCAAATGACGCACATGCGGTCCTACAATATTCAGTGATCGTTGTCGCGGTTGAAATCGAGTCTAAGTTGTGAAATTGTAAATAATAAACTCTTTATGTTGTATAGCTCCCTCTCAAGGTCAAGATATTTATTAAGCTATAAAACAATGTTTCTTGACTAAAATCTACCGATTAGTTGTTCCCGTTCGGAAATTATATATCACAACTACATATTCTGAGATTTTCATGGTCGCAGCTACCATTGTACGGCCGTAGGCACTATTTGAAATTCATCAAAATTTACTGGGAGCACCGGTAATTTTTATATTCAATTTTTCTCGAAAGCAGAAGTAGTTTAGGGGCTAAATTTTCTAGTGCTTATAATACATCCACAGGGGCATCCAAATATATCAAAATCGTAAAGAATTACCATCCACCCAATTTTCACAATTTCCCCAAACTTTGTATTACCTTTAATGAAAGTCTTGTAGGCGAGACAGACTCGACAGGTTTATGGATTTTATTTAGCGATGGCGGATAGCCACAGATCTACCCTGGTTACCTCATCACATTATACAGTAGAGGCCTCTGAAATCAGTTAGAAACCCACAAGGGATTTTACGGACTAGCCGCTCAAAACAACACATGTGTTGTTTATCTCGCTTTGTGATCGGGGGCTGTTCCGCAAGGCGGATAAATGCAAATAATTAGATATTCATAACTGTATAATGCAACGCCTGCGTGCAACCCTTTGGCCTATATTATTTCTTCAATTCCGGTGACCTATCAATATTGCATCCATACCAATGATTTATGAAGAGATCCCGGTGGTTGATACCGCTAGGGTTGTTTCAGCTGCGGAGATGTCGAGGGAGATTGTTACGCCTCCATCATTAGGAAACAAAGCTGACAATACGCATTATTCATATCATTTAGATAAGAGCATTAGTTGGGGAATAATTTTTGATTCCGATAGAGATATCACAGTAGATATACGCTGTAAATGCTCATCCCAAAGTACATTAGTGTAGCTTTTCACGATACTATTCATACTGTAACCCTCTTTCGTAGGTTGTATTGACAATCCAATATAGAAGCGATAAACAGATCCACATTTTAATGAATTAGTTCAGTTTTTTTGCCAAACATAGAGAAGATGGGTCGAACACAATCCAAGTATAAACAAACGAACAGCAGCAACAACAAAACATGTGATACGTTCTAAATTATTTTCAACTGCACCCACTCCTGCAAACCTGTAAACAGTCACTTACTTCCCATCCAGTTTATTTCACCATAGAGATCAAGCTATTGATGTCTTTCAAAAAATCTTAATGTGACAACCAACCGATTTGTATACCGAATTGATTATTTCGACTTCAGAAGAAGTAGGATATTATGTGTCTATTTGTCCTCATCAATAAATTCAATTATACTTTGCCTGCAAGTTGTATTTCTAACGTTTAACCTGAATTATGCAAGCCAGTCGTAGAGACTTTCAATAAATCTAATCGATGGCAGTTTCAAACCCGATTGCCTTGGCTAAGGAAATTATGTTGTGGTTACGTAAATGCCATTGTCATGATCGCACACTTCAATAGGTGATGCGCGTTGCCTCAGGTTGATTTTCGAAAGTCTTTTCGATTATGTGTATCATTTATTCTTAATTCTGCCAAATTACTTTAACTATCTTGCATCATTAAATCCACTAGCATTTGAATCAATGGTTTTTGTAAATGTATCGCAATCATTTAAACTTAACATTTTCAATCTAACGATTCCTTCCATGCAGTTACGAAGGCTTTAAAGAACGGCAACCATCCTGGTCTGCGTCGCACTGGCTTGGACCGGCTTCCACGTGCTCGCATGAAGGCCCTACAGCTTACAGCAACCATCGTAACCGCTTTCATCATCTGCTGGAGTCCTTACTACATCGTGAGTACATGGTATCATTTCGACAGTGGCTGGCAATCCGAGGAGAAGAAGATGCTCAAACCGGAGTGGGTCATCGATGTCCTCATGGCCTTGGGATACTCCAACATCTGCGTAGATCCGATCATCTACGGGCTCTTTAGTACGAAACTTTGGCGACAGTTACGAAGCTGTTGGAAGAAGAAGTCTCTCTCAGACTCGCGATCGCCCAAGACGATGACGAAGAGAACACTTTCATCGTCTCATTCGACGGTTACCAGGGCGACGTCGGTCAGGTTTGGGGTCATGACCTCTGTCCACTCGTGTCCGCATGAACATCCGGGTATTGAAATGAGTCACATGACCCAGACAAGAGTTGACAGCGTATCGGACTGAGGACAGCGCAGAGACTTGCGACGGAAGAATTACTTGGTAGGGGGGAGGGTTTAATTACATGGATGCTTCGTCTCCGAGTGCCTAGCGATTCATTCATTAATGTGATGCGCCCTGTTTGTTATACCAGACTGCGTATCGCTTATGTCTGTCAATTGTCATGTGTTTAATTAAGTAAGGCACAATTGAACAAAAGTTGTGGAACGCGCTATTCCAATCCTCCTGACTATCGGATCAATAGTCACTATGAACTGACAAATACCTGAATAAAAGAAAAGGAAGAAATTGCTAATTTTTACGGAGCAAATTTTATTTGGAGATATTCCATGGTCTTATGCACATTTCGCTTCATATATGATTATACGTGAATGTCGGGCATGTATTTATTTACTTATTCGGTATTTCCTTCGAAGTAAAAAAAAAAAAAAACCCAATATATTCAGATTCAACTGGGATCAACCTCTTTTTTTTGGAGAAACCATGAAAAACTTTGGTAACAGGTAAAGCGTACTACTTATCGCCGGTTTGAGTTATCGTGGATTTGATAGGTAAAGATCACCCCCCCCCCCCCAATATTCTTTTATGAATGCATATCCCCCTATATTGACTAACAACCCGTACAACAACCCCCGCAAACATACCCCTGGGACATTTGCCCCCCGGACAATTACTTTCGGACGTCTAACCTCAAAAAAAAAAACTACCCCCATGTGACAAATACTTCCTGGTAACTACCTCGGACGACTTCTCTTTTCGGACAATTACCTTCTAGGACACTCGCCTTGTGGATATCTTGCCCAGAGACTGTGACTTTACATAATGGCAACATATACCCCTCGAATAGCTAGGCTCCCAGGACATTCACTTCCGGACATCTACATTTGTACCTCGGGCTATTGCATTACGAGTTGTTGTCTATTGATAAATGTCCGGTACTTGTGGCCTAGATGATTGCTATACAGTAGGTTTGCGGGTGCACCATGTGTGAGAGAGAGAGAGGGGGTTGAGGAGTCATGAAAAGGACTCCTCAACCCTCTCTCTCTCTCTCTCTCTCTCTCTCTCTCTCTCTCTCATGGTGCACCCGCAAACCTATAGTTATACTGAATATCTACATCACCATGCAAGCCGACACTTACAAGCAGCATAGATGATTGTTGTTTAGGAGTCTATACTAGGTAACGCAACTTAGAAAAATAACTGAGCCTTGCGGACATCTTGCCCAGATACTGTGACTTTAGACAGTGACAACATATACCCCTCGGACAGCTACCTCGTAGGACATTTACTTCCGGACAACTAGCCCAGATACTATATGCCTTTAGGTAATGACAACATACTGTATACCACTCGGATAGCTACCTCCTATGACACTCACCTCCGTGGTCAACTACCCCCAGACAACTAACCCCCTAGGACAACTACCCCCGGGACAACTACCCCCCGGACAGCTTCCCCCTAGGACAACTATCTCCCGGGCAACTACCCCCGGACAACTAACACCGGACAACTACTTCCTAGACACTCACCTCCGGACATCTCGCCCAGATACTATGCCTTTAATAGATAATGACAACATAAACCGCTCGGGCAGATGCCTCCTAGAACACTCATCTCCGGACATTTAGCCCGGACAACTACCTCTAGCCCGGATATTATGTCTTAAGAACATATACCCATTGGACAACTACCTCGGGTTCACTGACCCTTGACATCCACATTGGGCGATTGCATTACGAGTTGTTGTCTATTGGCAAATGTCCGGGACTTGTAGCCCAGGTGATTGTTGCTTAGGAATCTATACGAGGTGACATAAGTGAGAATCAAATTCATCTTTATTCTTCTTGTTTTAAACCAAAAAAAACGTTATTATTATTTAGTATCACATTATGCTATTTAGCATGAAACCTTGGTGCTTGAAATTGATTTTTTTTTTAAAACAAAAATTAAATACTTATGATTCTTTAAATGTATTTTGATACAGTGGGCCAAAAAGGGTATGAAAATTGCCATGAGTTAGGCCAACTTTCAAGAGTAATATACAGCCAATTCTGGAATAAATTTTAAAAAGGACATTATCAAAAATATAGATTATTGTTGCTAGTTTACAATCATACCTATTAAAATACTATTTTTTGGTGCATGCAAGGTGACCGGGTAGGATATTTTCAAACATCAATCGCTGTTAACGCTTTTGGTTGCTTAGCTCTTTGGTACAGGAAAATGAAGCAACGGCCAATTGTCTCAAGCCTATATTTGTTTTTATTGAAATATAATAAATATACAACTTAGCTTTTATTTATCACATTCGCTGGACGAATAGAGATCTAAATTATAGAACAGCCGTCGATATTTTTTCATTTTGTGAACTGTACATACTCTGCTAATATATTTGGTACAAAACGGTTGCCCATAGTAACAATACTATGCCTATTTGAGTTTATTCTATTTTGTTTAAAGGGCATTATGACCAATTGGCAACTGGATAATTTTCTTTTAGGCAATATATATATTAAATATCGTACAGAGTCGGGATCATATATATTTTGACAGCCATCCAAACCAATCTGTAAAGAAAAATAACGCATTGAGGATATAGACATAACGATTGAAATGCCCAAACCCTTGGTTAAGACACGCCATTCATATTGGTTAGAAGCATAAATGATTAGCTATTATGACCGAAAATATTACAAAGAACACATAATTATCTTGAGTTTTAATAATTTTTATGTGTTTTCTTCGATTTGCCACATTGCCAGGCTTCTAACATTCAATCATGTTAATTGAATGGAGTAAAATGGTGGAAGGAATAAAGTTTGATCGAGGTGAAGAAGTTATAAAAGACATTACAGGAATACGAAAGGGTGCAGTAAGGTGCTTTGCCCCTTTCTCTCGGTCTTTTAATATAAATTTCTTCTCACAGATGCATTAAACAAAATGACTTTTCAAGAAGAATGATCCTTAGGTGAAGGAAATAACCAACTCGTAGCCATCACTATTTATTGTTTTCGTTTGTATAATATACTATTGTTTTAACTAATTACAATTGCTCTCAGGTATATGCGGGTCAGATATCATGGATGCGTCGTGGTATAGTGGTTCATTCACTTGACTCTCAATTCAAGGGTTGATGGTTCGAATCCCAGCCCAGCACTAGTGTAATTTGGCAAGACATTCTAGTCCACATTTGCTACTTTCCATCCAGGTGTAAATGTGTACCTGGCAATTAATGGGATAATAATAATTGCAAGACCCGATTACAAGAAAATCAACATCAAACTGATGGGGCTTTCCTGGTTAAAAATAATAATAATTATTATTATAATGATAGTCCGTTCTTGTACAACGCATAACGCATTATGATATTAAGTCTCTATGCGCTTCTAAAGAGCTTTTGAAATTATTACCCTAGCTTTAGCTCCGGCAGCCGTTATCAGTGCTCAGGCATTTCAAGGAATAATCCTACCAGGTATCCATTTACCTCAACTAGGTTGAGTTTGCCAAATGTAGATTATTATTATTATTATTATTATCATTATTACTATTATACATTTGACTATTAATGTCGCACTCAAACGTGTTTTAATGCAATCAGGTACACAAATTATTGTTCATTATATCCCACATACTAAGAATCTTGCTCTACGATTGGTCAAAAGTAAATCACGTGATGAAAGATAGTTCGCATTATTGATGAGAGAAGCAAAAAGTTCGTTACACTGTGTAGATAGTACTACTATCTACACAGGGCAACGCACTTTCACTGAAGATTATCCAAACGCGCACTAAAACGGCGTTATTAAGCGCGCATTACCAATGAGCGCAATTAAAGAAAACACATGCGCGCACCGTATCCTCAAGGGGTTGGGTTAAACTTAAACTTGTTTGGTGTGAATTTGGGCCCATGTGTCTTTTATGTAGATGCACACACGTCCTTTTCTTTTTGTAATTAAATTATTTTAGATGTGGAATATAAAGCAAATAATCACCTTTTGGTTTTAGGCGATGGCAAACTATCACTTCCTCGTCGATCAGAATGTATACGCTATCTTTCCTTAGCTTCGCTTCGGAAAGATAGCTACATCCATATCGCCTCGGAAGTGATAGTTTATCCCATCACCTTCAGCAACGGTAATTATTTGCTTATTTGACAAGATGCAGATCAATAATATTCTTTCCCCTTATAATCACGTGATCCAAATAGGGCTTTATACTATGCATGGTAATTAAGGCTACACAAACGTTTAAGTGGAAACACTGATAAAGGGCGAAAACAATGAAATAAAGCAAAAGGTGTACATGTATATGCTCTAGAACAAATTGTTAAAAATGATCAATGGATAGAATGATAGCTTTATTATTGTGTTTCAGGATTTTAAGTTTCCGATAAATTTACTGTGATCAAGTGAGCTGGCTTTATCACTGTGATCGAATTACCACTTTCTCATTTTTCGTACAAGATCTGGAAGTTAAAGTGAAATGATAACTCGTTTTTATCGTTGTTTTATTTACTCTGTATGTAGTCACTTGTTTTCACACTGTTGTCCATAAAAGTAACAATAAATGTTTCTTTTACCTCTTTTAATGAAACGATTTAATGTGCTGTAGCGGGACCCCATTTCCCCGCACTGATATTAACAACCTGCAACTGGTGTCTTATTTAAACAATTGTCATCTACTGATAGCTATGGTTGATATACGAAATAACAATTATGATATGATTGTGACATTACGATTTATTCTTAAAAGATATAGTTTATGCGTGCTCGGAATTGAATCGATCAATCTAATGATTCATAGAGATTGAGCATTACATATATATCCATTAAGAATAAGTCTTATTGCCACAATCATTTCATGAAAAGAGGTATAAGGAAATTGGTCTGCAGCCTGGGAGACACGACCTTATCATGTCCGTTACACTATGTTGTTCCCTTCAGGCACCCATGTTGGTACTTTATGTATTGTTGTACTTTTTGGGCAACAGTGTATTGTAATGTAACCTTTTTTTTTAGTACCGGTAT